GCTTATAGAGTAAATTTGTTCATTGAATCTGAAGTAAAACTTAGGTAAATCTTCTTGTACAGATTCCTCCAATATCGATCATATTTTTAACTACGAATGTCTTTCATTAAAAATTCAGGCTATAATCTTTTGAATTTACCAATAAAAATTAAATTTATAAAGCATTTAGAGTAAAAAACAAAGATTTTATTTTCCGCACTTTGGTGCGTATGATTATTTTTATTTTTTGGGTAGTTTTGCCAAATTAGCCATAACTTCTAAAGTTGTCCTGCGATTTGCACCGGATTTTTGGCTTTTGAAACTAGAGACACTAGGGATAACAAGTACGTGAAAAACATAAAAAGTCTAGAGGAAAAATTTCCATTAATTTCCCAAAACATTCGGATATTATATAAAAATGGCTTCATTCACATTCACCACCTTTCGAATAGCAAGTCTTCTCAACTTCAACTAATTCCCAACCAAATTTTCTCCTTTTAGATTAGCAGAACTTCTCATAGAAAGACTTCTTTGATAGATTTCCAATTAAAAAAAAAATAAATCGAGCGAATTTTTTCATTAAATTTCCAAGTAGAAAGTAAGTGATTTACTTCGTACAGATTCCTTGACTACAAAATATTTTTAAAGCTCGGAATGTCTTTCAATAAATGTTAAGGCTATGCTCCGTACATATCGTAAATAAAAATCCAATTTATAAGGCATTTAGGGCAAAAAACAAAGATTTTATTTCCCGTACCAGAGTGCGTATGATTATTTTTAATTTATGAACATTTTTACAAAAATGGTCATAACTTCTAAAGTTGGCATGCGATTTGCACGGGATTTTCGGTTTTAGAAACTAGGGAAACAAGGGATAACAAATATAACAAAAACATAAAAAGTCTAGAGTGAGAATTTCATTAAAATCTCCAAAGCATTTGGAAACCAAAATAAATTTAATGAGATTCTTTGGAAAAAGTATTTTTGCTTCGAAAGTTGTGAAATGATTTTGATTTCGGTTTTTTTTCAGCAAAATTTCCCAACCAATAACATAATTTATTGCCCCATATTTAAATAATTTAACAATCAACTATACAAAACAAATTTAGCTCCAGGCCATATTAAAAAAAATATTCAAACACTTTACAATATAAAATCATTTATTGATATAATATCATTATTTTCTTTAAACACACACACACACAATTTTTCCTAAGCTTCTCAAACAAGCAACTACACACTTTCTTTTGTTCGTTGTTATCTAGAAAAATTTATTGATTGATTTTTATAGATTTTCATTTTCAGATTCTTCGTTGCTATTGCCCTGTAAGGTTTTGTAATGTCAACACTCAATGCAATAAATTTAGATCAGCTTTTCGAATGAAAATCAAAAGAGTCTTTGACATACTAAATTAGAAAATTTATGTGAATGCCTTTTTGATTTTTATAATGAAATTCATTTTAACAATTTCTTTATGGCATTTTTTTAGTTTACAGCTTAAAAATGTGGTTGTCTGGTGAGATGAAATTTATTTTAAGAAATTTAAAAATAAATTCATTGAGGGATGTGGCTACTTGTCTTTTTCTTTTGTTGATAAATAATGAAAATTTGGTTTATTTTTAGATTTTATGCGATTGGAAAAGGTGGGCAATAAGATACTTAGTTCTTTATTGACTTTAGCTTTAATTATTTCTAAGAGACTTTAAAGAAAGGTTTTATTCTAAAATTAATTTATTTTTCGATTTCAAATAACTTTTATTGTTAGAACTGGCTCTGCTCTAGATAAACTTAGTAAAAAAATTTAATTAAAAATCAATTTGTCTAAAAACAATGATTTTTTCTTTCTGGTACATCAGAGCGTATGAATATTACTAATCTGTAGGTGTCTTTGGCAAAATGCCCATAACTTTGAAGGTTTTCAACGGATTCTCTTGGAGTTCCTTTTTTCAGAATCTGGAGGATGTAAGCTAAATATAAATGCAAACAGATTTATTAATTTAGTTTTGAGTTTGTTCTAAAATCCCCTCAAAACCAAAAAAAATATTTTTTGAAAAATATTTAAGGTATATATATTATGTAGAAAATGGATGTAACTTTTAAAATATTCCGAATATTTTTTTTTTAGAATTGTGATCTTGGACTCGGAGAGGGAATGAATAAAACCAATATTTGTCAGGTCTTGCTATTAAATATACTCGAACATTAAATGTTCAATATGTAATATATTAAATATTCTATATATATATATATAAGAAAAAACTTCCAATACTTTCATGAAACCTTCAAAGTGATTTTTGATCCTAAAACCATAAATTTATGACTTCAACTTCCTTCTATGGCGAGTTGGGATAATGCCCCGACTAGATTTTTTAAAAAATATCTAATTTATAACTCAGTTTGTCTAAAATCAAAGATTTTCTTTTTGGTACTTGAGTGCGTATGAGTATTATTAATTCAAAGGTATCTGTGGTAAAATGCATATAACTTTGGAAGTTTTCAACAAATTTTTGTGAAGCTTTCGGTTTTAGAATCTGAAGAAAATAGGCTAAATGTAACTGCAATACGATTTTATAATTTAGCTTTGAAATTTTCCTATAATTCCCTGAAAACAAAAATATTAAACAAAAAATTTAATATTTGTCACGGAAAAATAGCTTTAAAATATTTCAAATATTTTTTTTTTTTTTGGGAAAATAGATTTTGAACTTACAGAATAAATGAACGAGGATCAAATTTTGTCATGTTAAATAGCGTATTTGCTTTAAAACTTCTGGAGTCCTAAATGTTCCTATAAATATTGAACATTTAGGACTCCAGAAGAAGAAAAAACTTCTATTGTTTTCAGGAAACGTCCAAGATGATTTTTATTCTCCATCTGTTTTTAGACTTCAAATAATTTTCATTGTTATATGTCGCGTATAAATTTCATAAAAAATTGCCAATTTTAAAATCAGTTCGTCTTAAATCAACGATTTTCCTTTTGGTACTTCAGTGCGTATGATTATTTTTAATTTCAATGTACCTATGGTAAAATGCTCATAACTTTTCCAAGTTTTAACGGATTTGCATGTAGTTTTCAGTTTCAGAGCCTTGAGAAAATAAATTCAGTCAATTTAAATATTTTTCACGGAAAAATAGCTATAGCTTTTAAAGGATTTCAAATATTTTTTTTTTCTTTTTTCTTTTTGGGATTTTAGATTCTTAACTTTGAGATGTCCCAACACAACTTTGAGATGTCCCAGAATAGGATACTTGCCTTTAAATCTTCTCGAGTCCTAAATGTTCAATATTTATAGACTTGAATGTGGAAGAAATTACTTCTATTGTTTTCAAGAAACTTCCAAGACGATTTTTATTCTGAAATTCATCTGTTTTTAGACTTTCATAACTTTCATTATTATTTCAGGCTATGTCGCGTCTAAATTTCACAAAAAATTACCAATTTTAATATCAATTTGTTTCAAAACCACGATTTCCTTTGTTGGTACTTTCGTGCGTATAATTATTTTTAATTTGAAAGTATCTTTGATAAAATACCCATAACTTTTCAAGTTTTTAACAGATTTTCATGGTGCTTTCGGTTTTAGAATCTGGGGGAAATAGACTAAATACAAATGCAAAAAAATATTTCCTTTTATTTTTAATTGTGTCTCTAGCCAGCATCTAAACCAAAAACAAATAAAAAAAATAAAAACATTTGTTATGGAAAAATATCTCTTTCAAATATTCTCAATTTGGAATGAAAGAACAACGAGCTTTTTTTTCATGACCAATAGGAAACTGTCTTTAAATGTTCATGAATCTTAAATATTTGATAGTTATTGTATTGAATATCAAGAAAAACAAACTTCATATCTTTCCTTGAAATTTTCCAAATAATTTTTGTTCTTTCCAAAAGAATTTTAATAGGTTTTCAGATTTCAAATAACTTATATTGTTAGTTTAGATCACGCCCCTTCGACATTTAATTAAAAATTTGTAATTTTTAAAACCAAATTGTGTAAAAAATAAGTTTTAGTTTATGGTACTTCAGTGCGTATGATTATTTTTAATTTCAAGGTATCTTTGGTAAAATGCCCATAACTTTTCCAATTTTTAACGGATTTGCGTGGAGTTTGCGATTTCTTAATCTAATCTCAAAAAGTTAAAGAGAAATAAAAAAAAGTTTGCAGACTTTGTGAGAAATTTCCACAAAAATCCCCTCAAAACTTAAGAAAAATGTTTAAAAATATGATATAGCTTCTTTGAATACAACTTCCTAGTAATACCTTAAAAATGGATTTTATTTTAAAGAAAAACTCTTAGAAAATATTACCTAGACTGTCCTAAAGCAATTTTCAATTTGTGATTGTCAATTGTCCAATATGCCCCTTATCATGTTTTTGTTTTTATTTGAAATCTTTAACATTTTTAAATTTTAAATATTTTTCTATTTTTTTAATAGGTTTTCAGATTTCAAATAACTTATATTGTTAGTAAAGATCACGCCCCTACTACATTTAATCAAAAATTTCTAAATTTTTAAATCCAAATTGTGGAAAAAATAAGTTTTTGTTTTGGTACTTCAGTGCGTATGATTATTTTTAATTTCAAGGTATCTTTGGTAAAATGCCCATAACTTTTCCAATTTTTAACGAATTTCCATGGAGTTTATGATTTCTGAATCTTATCCAAATAAGCTAAAGAGAAATACAAACAAGTTTGCTGACTATGTGCGAAACTTCTGCAAAAAATCCCCTCAAAACTTAAGAAAAATATTTAAATGCATTTTATGTTATAGCTTTTTTGAAAACAACTTCCTAGAAATACCTTAAAAATACATTTTATTTAAAAGACAAACTCTTGGAAAATATTACCTAGAGTGTCCTGAAGCTAATATCAATTTGTGTTTGTCAATTGTCCAATATGTCCCTTATCATATTTTTGTTTTTATTTGAAATCCTTAATATTTTTAAATTTTAAATATTTTTCTTTATTTTTTTTTTTAATTTTTTTTTTTTCAAGAAATATGGTTACTTACAGTGTTTACTTTTCTCAGCTGCCACTTGATGATGGCCGGTCTGGGCCAGTATGCCAAAAAGCATTAGAAACATTAAAAAGCATTTTCGGGAAATTGACGTTTGCTGGAGCTGATGTTGGTGCTGGTGGTGGTGGCCACACAAGATTTTATTAAACTTGGCCACAAATGTGGCAGCTGCTGCAGTTAGGAAGTAACAAAAATGATGCAACAACATCAAAACGCTGCTAAATGCTGATGAAAGTTTAGATCCTGGTGCCTTTTCATGTCCTGCCTCTCCTTTTTCATCTTCCCCTGCAGCTGTTGTTACGGCTGCCAATGCGTTAGATGTTCTTGTCCCGGCTGTTATTGTTTGGGGCACATCGTTGCAGGCTTTCATATTGGGATAGGTTAAAATATTGTTTAAATAAAATTTAATATTTTTTAAATGGCAGTTATTGTTGTTGTTTTTCTTGTTATTTTCATGGCTACAATTGTTCAGGGTGTTGCTCCGCCGCCCAGCTCTGGCGAAACCTTGCCCAGAGTTATGCCCATCATTATCAGCTTCCCAATTGTGGGTTGGCTTTGTTGTTGTCGGCTCCCCTCCATTGGCCATGGGGTTTTTTATTGCCATGCCTGGTGTTGTGTAGCCCTGGCCGTTGCTGCTGTTGTTGTTGGCGGTGGCATTTATGCTATCCTGCAACTCGTTACAATTAAATTCAAGTATTTTGTCCGGTGGCCCCGGGCCACATGATGTTGGCTGCAACATATTTCTTATGTTTGTATTTTGTTGCCTTGCCCCTCTCCAGGGCCTTTGTTTTTCTTCGTTCTCGTTCCTTCGTCGTCGTCTCCTTCTTCTTTACTCCGTTTTATATTTGTTGTGCTTTGTGGGCTTGCGTTCAGACAGGGCAAGTTTCACCGTCGTCATTGTTTAGCAATTAAACATAATTTTTAAATGTATCTCTAAGTGTGCCCCGAGGTAATTACGGGCTTTTAATTGAATTTTTGTTTCTTGGCCAGAGATTCTTTTGCACAGATAGCTGGAAAAAACAAAACAAAGGAAAAAAACATAAACAAAATTAATAAAGTTTCAAGATAAACTGCAAGAAAACATGAAAGGCGACGTATAAGTAATGGCTGCACTCATACGCCAGGGTATTTTAATGAGAAAAATACAAAATATTGAAAATTATAAAATTTTGCTACAACACAACAAGAACCCTGTTGTAAAATAGTTACAACGCGAGTATAACAGTTTCATTTGCCTTTAAAATTTCAAAATTTAATAATTTTTTGGCTTAAAAACGCTTTGGGCAGCAAAATAAAACTTTTCCGGCATGTATAACAGTTTTGAGAAAACTGTTATACTCGTATAACAGTTTGGAAAAACTTCGAATTTTCAATTTTCAGCCATTTTAAACCATAATATACAATTTATAATCTACCAAAAATTAGTTTTCTATGTGTTTAGATCTCTTTGAAATGAAATTGGCTTTTATATGCCGACACATCAAAGGGCTAGACGGGTTATGCATCAAATTTGACATTAAAGTTTATATTTCTTCTCCAAAATCTATGTTTTATGAATGAGAATGAGTCTTATTTGATATGTACGGTCTCCAAATAAGCAAAATTTCAGCAACATTTTTCACGAAAATCTTTTTTAGACACAAAATGTCATTTTTTATGATAGTATAACAGTTTTTTAGAAAACTGGCATTTAACAACGGAGGAATTTAAGATTTTATGCATTTTTAAGCTCCAATTTTAAAATATTTTTTCAAAAACAATTTTTTTTTTAATCTGTAGGGCAATTACATCACCAGTATAACAGTTTCATATGATGAATAATGTTCTAAAATTACCATGGTTGCATCGAAATCATGCATAAAAACGTTTTAAAACGTAAAAGAACACATTTTATGACAATATAACAGTTTTATGGAAACTGTTATACTGGTATAATAGTTAAGGAAAACTACGGAAATTCAATTTCTTACCATACTAAACCATAAAAATATAGTTTTAAGGCTCTATGTACCCAGTATTCATGGCAGTATAAAGTCTTGAGAAAACTGTTATACTGGTAAAACAGCTTTTCATAATGGAGGAATTTAACATTTTATGCATTTCAAGCTCCAATTTTAATTTTTTTTTTTTTTAAACCAAGTTTTTTTTTAATTCTGTACGTCAACTACATCACCAGTATAACAGTTCCATATGATGAACAATGCCCTAAAATTACCACGATTTCATCGAAATCATGCATAAAATTGTTTTAAAAGGCAAAAGAACCCTTTATATGGCAGTATAACAGTTTTACCGAAACTGTTATACTTCTATAATAGTTAACGAAAACTACGGAAATTCAATTTCCTACCATACTAAACCATAAAAATTTAGTTTTAAGGCTCTATGTACCCAGTATGCATGATAATTAACTGTTATACACAACTATCTTCCTATTTTTCGAGAAAATTAACTCTTATACACAACCGTTACTGCAAAAATTCTGTTATAAATTCCATTTTAGATCTAGCAAAGTAAGATTTACCAAATTTGGATATATTTCTTTAAAAACGCAGCTGTTCAACGCAGCATATCACATACAATACCAGTATAACAGTTTCATTTCATCTTTATTGCACTCAAATTACCAAAATTTCATTTGATCTGACATGAAAACGTTTAAGGAGACAAAATGCAGTTTTTTTCTAGCAGTATAACAGTTTTATGGAAACTGTTATACTGGTATAATAGTTAACGAAAACTGCGGAAATTCAATTTCTATGAATCGCTAATCCTTAAATATATAGTTTTAAAGTTCTATGTACCCAGTATACATGAGAATTAACTGTTATACACAATTATCTAACTAGAATTCAAGAAAATTAAGTCTCAAACACAATCATTTCTGGGAAAATTATATGTAGTCACTCTCGTTTTGAGATCTAGCACAGTAAGATTTATCAAATTTTGATATACTGCTTCAAAATCGAAGCTATTGAAGGCAGTATATCACATATAATAACAGTATAACAGTTTAATTTCATATTTATTGTACTCAAATTGCCAAAATTCCATTTTATCTGACATGAAAACGTTTTAGGACATAGAATGGAGTTTTTTCTAGCAGTATAACAGTTTTATGGAAACTGTTATACTAGCATTATAGTTAATGAAAACTGCTGAAATTCAACTTCTATGGAATGCTAACCTTAAAAATATAGTTTTAAGGCCTTATTTGCCAAGTATTGATGAACATTAACTGTTATACACAAATATCTACCTAGAATTCCCAAAAAATAACGTATACGTATCTACTTCAGCAAAATGACTGCAAAAATCCCATTTTGAGATCAAGCTTAATACGATTTAATAAATGTTGATACATTGTTTCAAAAAAAACGAAGCTATTAAAGCCATTACATAACTTACAACGCCAGTATAACAGTTTTATTTCATCTGTATTGTCCTTAAATTGTCCAAATTTTATTTAATATTACATGAAATCAAAATTTAAATAAAAACATTTTATAACATTATAACAGTTTGAAAAAAACTGTTATACTCGTATAACAGTTACAAAAACCTCAAAATTTCGAGTTTTAAGTATTTAAAAATATCTTAAACTCTATTTTTCAAATATTTTCTCAAAAAGATTGCAATTAAGATCAGTATAACAGTAAAAACTCCATTATAACAATTTATTTTAATGTATGTTATAATTTACAAAAACTACTAAATTTGGAGTTTTAAGTCTTTTAAACTCTAATTTTGAGATATTGTTTAAAAGCAAAGTAATTTAAAGAAGTATAACAATTAGAATACGATTATAACAGTTTCGTTTGATGTTAGTTGCCATGAAATAAACAAAATTTTCTGACACTAAAAACACTTTTGGACACTAAGTAGTAGTTTTTATAGCAGTATAACAGTTTGGAGAAAACTGTTATACATGTATAATAGTTTACAAAACCGCTAATTTTCGAATTTCCACCATTTTATGTTCCATTTCTAAGACGTTTTCTCAAAAACAAAGTAATTTAAAATGTATAACAATTAGAACACGATTATAACAGTTTAATTTGCTGTTAGTTACCACGAAATTAATAAAATTTATTTAAAATCTGTCAAGAAAACACTTTAGGACACCAAAGGGTACTTTTTATAGCAGTATAACAGTTTGTAGAAAACTGTTATACTTGTATAATAGTTTACAAAACAGCTAATTTTCCAATTTCCAGCATTTTAAGCTTCAATTCTACGATATTGCCTCAAAAACAAAGCAATTTAATGAAGTATGACACCAAAAACACCTGTATAACAGTTTTATCTTATATTTTTAGCAACAAATTAACAAAATTTCCTGAAAACCTTTACAAAGGACCTTTTAGTACACCAAATAAAGCTTTTTAGTACAGTATAACAGTTTAGAGAAAACTGTTATACTCGTATAACAGTTGACCAAAACTGCAAATTTTCAATTTTTAAAGCATTTTAAAGTCCTTTTATGCCATCCTTTCATGTACTTCCACTCAATTTAAAAGTTCTAAGGACTCTACGCAACAAAATTGACACCCAGTTCAAAATCAAATTAGACGGTGACAAGCATGATTTAGCAATTATTTGCCCTGGGGTGGCAAAAAAAAAATGTTGATAGCAGCAATGGAAAATAGCTGAGTGACACAAACACACATAAGGGCACAAGGAAAGAAAAAAAATTACTAACACATGGTTGACAAAATGAATAGGCAAAGGAGGAGAAAAACACAACAAAAAGCGAAAGGAATAAGAAAAGGGTTGTGGAGTTCATTAAAGCACAACTATGATCACCAGTAGAGGGAATGAATTCTTCTGCTGCCTTTCTCTATTTTCCTAAGAAGACCATAAATCAAAAATTTTTATTATTAAAAATTTCACAATTTTCTCCAACTTCCCTATCCCACCTCGCATTTTTCCTTTCGTTACAAATATCCCCTACTCATTTCATGGAAAATTTGCAACAAATCTATAGACTTGCCAGTGATAATTGAAAATCTATGACAGCAACATTTGCAAACTCACACTCATGGCCATGGCATGCCCACACCAGTCCACATGAATGTCTGTCAGTCACTTCGGTCGGTCGGTTGGTCGGTTATGTGTGCGTGTGTGTCCTAAACTTGTTGATGTTTGCAGAAATCTAATGAAAAATCAATTAAAAAGAATTTTCGAACAAATTCTCATTTTGATTTTGACCATAGACCACACCGAACACAGATCAGACATCAGCATGTGGGCAGACAATAAATGGAAAGAGAGAAAGAGTGGGGGGAGAGAGTGTGGCGACAGGGGAGACAAATTTGTAACATGTTTCGGACGAAATTACAGGATTCTAATTTAATGGAAATTAAGGGAATGCGAAAGAGAGATTTTTCAATTGAAAATTGAAATTTTTGTAGATTAATTCTGAATAACCAATATTTTTTAAATATTGTTATTCAATTCCAAAACTTTGAGTTTTTACGAAAAAATCTAAAGAAAATAATCAAGTTTTATAAAAAAAATCATTAAAGCAATTATTAGGTATTATCACAGTTTTTTATAGAAAATAAAAAATATTTCAAAGAAAAGTGTTATACTGGTATAACAATTTACAAAATCTCCAAAATTTGTAATTCTAATAATTTTTTACTCATCGTTTGGGTTTAGAGATTAAAATATCGGTTTTTAAGGTAGTATAACAGTTTCAAAAAAACTGTTATACCAGTATAACAGTTTTAAAATTCAGAAAAAGTCAGTATTTAGAATCATTTATACATCAGGACATCATTCAAACAATCTTTACACTAGTATAAGTGTTTCTAGATAACTGTTATACTAGTATAAAAACCATCAAATATCAGTACAACACTTAAAATATTCCGAGAAGCTTATCATTTGAATGGATTAATCATTTGAGCAACTTTACACGATTATAACAGTTTCCAGACAACTGTTATATCAGTATAACAGTTTTGAAATACACCAAAATGTTATGATTTTAGACAATTTCTCA